ATTTGATGCTGAAATTACTTCCTTGGGGAGCCTTCTCCAGTGTCCAGTCACCCTCTGGGTGAAAAACCTTTTCCTAATATCCAACTTAAACTCCTGTGACTCAGCTTCATGCTGTTCCCTTGGTTCCTATCAGAACCAGTCACCAGACAGGGACAAATGTCTACTTTCTTGTCCTTTACCAAAGAAGTTGTAGACTGTGATGAGGTCTTCTGCCAGTCTCCTCCAGGCTGAACAGACCAAGTGACCTCAGCCCTTCCTCACGACTTTTCCTGTAGTCCCACCATCTACATGGGCCTCTTTTGGAGTCTACACTTTGTGGAGCCCTTGTTTACAATTTCCATATGCAAATAGTAACAGTTGCTGTATGTACAAAGACTGGTGCTCCAAAAATTGCATAGTCTAGACATTCTTGGTTTTCAATGTTATTTGTGTATAAGAGCTGAATTTCTTTTCTCCCTGAGAATTCTTCCTGTTAAAAGGAATGTGAGTACTTAAGGTTTTGTAATCTTGTAGGCAGCCATTATTTTGACCTAGAAATGTCTTCAAGAAACTCTGGTAGTGTTGTGTAAGGAGTGGGTATGGTCTGGGGTAAAAGCTATGTATGAGATCCTTGCACTGTACCACAATTGGAAGATGTGCTGGAGTTTTGATAGAGTTGCTGTAACCTGAAGGGGTCATGAACCTGACATTTAAATAGATGCTCACACGAATGAGTAGTCTTGAAACCAAAAATGTTAGTAATCTTTTAATCAGGAGGGGATAGGGAGATGAATAAAGGACTTGAATGTTAACTGAATGTTCCAAACAAAATTAAATCTTTGGGTGACTTAGGCAGAGAAAGCAATTTGTCAAGCTGAGTAGATGTAGTGAAAGTGGGAGCCTTTGGGCATGGACAATGATAATTTTGGGTGCAATGCTTTTGGCTTTTGCCATTTCATTGCTCACTTAAAAGACAGAGAGCATTTATCTCCACCCCATTTAATGCAAAATTGAGTTTACTCTAAGTTGTAAAGAGTGTCATGAGCAGAGAACGTTTAGGTACTGAAGTGTGAATGGATAGCATCAGTATTGGGGGAAAGGGCAGGAGTGGGGGCAGTGTGGTAGCATCTGCTTTATAGTGGTTTTTTGGCCTTGTATGTGCTTTTGTTTATTTGTCACTACTTCGGGGACATAAGTCTGTAGAAAATCTGGTCTAATCAGGATAAGGATTTGCTCTGTAGCAGTCATACTGTATCTTGTGGAATCTGTCATATTGAAAGTCTTTGGGTATTTATTGGTTTTCCTTAGTGTCACAGTTATGGGAGTGAATGGAAGTCTCCCATGTACGAAAAATACCTAATAATTAGGACTGTAGAACAGAATATGCCGAGTATTCCAAGTGACACCTAAAATTCAGAGAAGAGTACATTAATAAAATAACCATTATCATTGCACAACAAGTTAAATATATTGATAGTTGCTACATTTTCTCATTATTATTATTGACATCTATTTTATAGAGCTGGTCTAGAATCTTTTATAGGTAAAATAATTTTTTGGTTTTAGTGTGAGGTCTTCACTGGATCCTCTTCAAAATTAGAAGCAATCAAATAATATATTCCATCTTTGGATTCTATCTACACAGCATAGTGAGAGAACATTTTAATTTATAGCAAAGATATCTATGTATTAAAATAGTGCTTGATTGACTTGCTGTAATCTCTAACTTCAAATATCAGATTATTTTAATTTTGTAGGGATGCAAAATTTCTATAGTAATGGCAACAGTTCTGCGTATTTAACACATATCAAGTGTGTGAATGAATAGAAGTGCAAAAATTATATATGTAATCATGAGTGTAAGAACCTCTGCTCCCATTCTCATCTACAGTCATTGTAAATTGTTAATGCTGTGTAACAGGCATGATTTCCCAGGTGTTTATATTTTTGTGGTATCAGCTATTGAACAGGATAATACAGTAACTGGAAAAACAAATACAGATTTCGGTTATTATTACTGGTGAATATTTTAATTTGTGATTTTGAAATGACAAATTTTCTGGGTTGGATTTAGAATGGAAGGACATTAACTTCTGTCAATTCTTTGAAAAATTCACAAACTTAAAAACAATTTTGTGTGTGTATGTAAACAGAGGCTTTATAAACCTTTCATTTTAACAATTTTACATTAATAAGAGCTTTCTCAGGACCAGCCCTCTCAATCAGGTTTAATAAGTTGAGACAGCTGATTTTGGAATGGATGAATGATTAAATTTACTATCATGCAGATAGACTGGGCATAGACAAAGAGAAATTTTCCCGATGTTTCTTTGCCTCACTGTGATTCAAATGAACAACCACGAAATTTTGCATTATTCTAGAGAGTTTTGTGTTAGGTATAATATTTTTTGTGTTACAATTAATAATAATGATAACTTGTGAAAGTTAAAAATGTTCATTTAACTCACCAGGTCTCCTGGTTCATTAGTGTCTTCAACAGTGCCATTTAAGAGTAAATGCTTCATCAATTAGTAGTGATTCAATCATAAAAGGCTGTAATAGCAGAAGGATTAGAACTCACGTGCTCCAAATCCTCTTGGTTTTTCACATCTCATTCTCTAAATGGGACCAGTTATTATCTATTATCTTAGCTCTTTTCAAGCAAGCAAAACAATCCTTCACTTTTATGTACAACCTTTTATTCCTTGAGGGTACCTAAGGGCTATTGTGTACAATGTTTATTATTTTACCTTTAAATATGCACTTAGCTCTAGACTGGAACAAAGTGGAATGCTTACAGGCTCAAATTGTCTGCTGTCTCAGTTTTTTGTAAGTTCTTTGTAAGAAGAAAGCACATGATGCAACCTGTTCTAAAATCCACATGCAAGTTAAGCCAACACTGGAATTTGCAGAATAAGCGTATAGTGGGGAACATTATGGAAAATAACCTTCTGTTTTCCTGTTGCAGCTTTCAGCTCAGGACTTTCTCATATTTTGTATAAGCTAATAAGCTTGTCTTCAAAACCCTGTTAGCAGTGCATGTTCTTTTTTTTTTGACTTTACCCATGTTTGTTTAACAGATGCATCTGAAAGATATCAAACCTCTAAACTATGCATGGCTATAGTATAATTCTACACACTCTCAAATTCTGATTTGATTTCACATTTATAAATTTACATATGTGATTGTCCAGCACTTGTGATAAATATTGAAATGTGATCCAGCAGTTCTCATTTCAAGCTATTTTATCAACTGAGCTCAAGCTCTCCAGCATCTCTGTTAATCACATAGGGAGCTATCTGAATGAAGGCTTAAAATAGGCATCCACATTCAATTGTTATGAAGGGAATAGAAGTACTGTTAAGTAAGATCTTCTAAGTTTATTATCAAGGAATACAGAAGGAAAAGCAACTTCTCTCTGTGTGGTTTGGATAAATCTTTTTTATTTCCCCTCCCTCTTCTTCCCTTATGTTACCCATACAGTTTAAAACAGCTCAGAGTTGACTAGACTGTTCTTTTCTGAACTGTTCCAGCTTAATTTAAAATCCTAATTTTACTGGGCATCTCATGATTTATACTCACAGGTGCTACAGCTGCTAGGATATCTATTTGACTGCAGTGTCTTCTGAGGCAAATCAAAACATTATTTTACATGTTATTTGTAATATTTGAGACAGATAAATGCCTGATAATCTTCCTGATATTAGATGAACTGTATTGTGCTCCAGTGACTACAGAACAATTTTGAATTTATTCCTATCTCTAATGCTTTTTCTTTCCTACCTCCACCTCTCTCTAGTTTTTCTGCCCACTATGTGAAATCTCTATCTTTTCATTATTATTAGAAACACTTCTACAAAAACCTGACTGCTAGTACTTCTGGGGTGATTGGTATTTGATTCCATTTTAACATTAAAAAGCTACGCTAGGGAGGTATGTAGCTTAACTGTTGTCTTCTGAGAGTCTTAAAATTGGATGTGGTCTAAATAAGTCTTGGCATGTACAATAAGAACAACAGCTTTCAACAGATTGAAATTGTTTTGTTGTTGGTTTGGTTTTTTTTCTTCCTGCATATAAAGTAAAAGTACAGAAATATATTAATGTTTTTGTCTGTATCATCCTTTTTCTATATTGAGGTATACATTTGGGAGTCAATCTGTGAACAGTCTGTGACTTATTGCTGTGATTATATGTCAATCCTCTTTTATTATTTTGTCATATTTTTGCTCCTTATGTCTCATCTTCAGAAGACATTTAACAGGTTACATGATCTGGAGTTTGGAAGCCGGTTGCCTAAATGAAAAGAAAAAAGCCATGGCTATATGTCAACCCTTTTTATTAAGACTACTTACAAATAATTACTGTTTTAAGGGAGTAGGAGCATTTTGCAAAAAATGAAGATGAGGTGTTGATGTAAGGCTCTAAAAGTCCAATAGACAAAGTTTCCTGACGTAGCCCAAAGGGGAAAAAAAAAAAAGAAAAATGGGAGGGAAAGGGGTGTGTTTAAGGAAGGATTAAATACAGCTAAAAGTGAAGATTAAAAATTTTAAATAGACTTCTCAGCCTGAGAATGTGTGAATGAAGTAAGGATGACTACCATAATAGATAGCTAAATGTCGGTAGGGAATCCAAGACAAGAAACGATACATAGGTTAGTATTTGATTCAGTCAAATCAAAGTTTTATGCGTTTCAAAGTTAAAGTTGCTTAGTGTTAAGGTATCTTTAAAAATATATTTGTCTTTCCTTAAACTAACATTTCTATCTGAAATTTTGTACTGTGAACCAGCACTCAAGGACTTAGGGTGTTTAAACAAGTGGCATTTGTTTTTTCACCATCCAGTCTTGTGTCACCATTTTCTGTTGGGAACCTCTGTAGGCTGAAATTGAAAGTGTGTCATGAAATCACCTTCAGGTCAATGAACTCTCAAGAAATCTTAGGCAAATATTTTTGTGCTGTTTCTCAGGGACCATGTTTTCTTGGTGCACAGTCCTGGGTAACCAGCTCTCTGTGTTTCCCAGGAATGTGGGGGACAGACTGTTGTGTAGAATGGGAAGCTGTGGAGGTGTTTACGAGATCTACCTCATCTGCTTCTTGACTGAAGTGGGGAATGAATCTTGATAATGCTTTCCACTTCAATGAAGACTTTCATGAGATTTCAGGTAATATATTGTGCTTCATGTCTAAATATTTTTCTTGATTTATTTCTATTTGAACCTTGAGTATAAGGTGATAGGTTATTTACTTATAGGAGGCACGAATTCATGAACACACACACACATGTATAGAGTTTTTATATCTGTATACATTCTTGCCAGAAAAAAAAAATATTCTTTTTAAGGGGAATTACAGTTTTAGCATAATGAAAAACTGATGATCATAGTTGAAAAGAAAGGAAAATTGTGTTTCTAAAAAATTTTGTGTCATTTTTTTCATTAAGAGCAGTAAAGATGACATACAGGTAGAATTCCAATTTTTAAAATGGTTGCTGCCTATTCAATAGAAATCTCTCCATTTCCCTGAGGTTAAGGATCTACCTAACTAAAATACTATTGAAACTTTTATTGTCCTTTTTCTTCTTCTGTCTTTTTTTCCTCCTTTTCTGCTTTTAGCTTTTTTCCTTCTTTTTCCCTCTTATTATATTTTCCTCTTTTTTTCCCATTTCTTTTTTAAGGCTTGATTTTTACCTTTTTTAGTAGCAATGGCATGTATGTGTGGTAGAAATGATGTGCATCTTAATCATGGAATCATAGAATATGCTGAGTTGAAAGGGACAATTCCAAGTTATCAACTTTTCAGAGTCATTGCAGGCACATTGTGTATTAATTTGCAGCAAAATTTATAGGAATTTAGACTGTACTCATCTGCATGTGAACAGATCCACTGAGTTGCTATTGGGTGTGAATAAAATAACATCCTATTGTATATCAGTGATATAACTTTTTTATACAGTTATGCAATTTTAGATCCTGTTCTTCCTGCCTAAAAAAGAAATGAAGCCTGAAAATTGTGAAAAATTTATTCTCATTTCAAGTCTGTTCTTTCATCTAACTTATTATACTGCCATCATCTTCAAATAATGCAAAAGCTGCCCTTTTCATATTGAAGTATGATGAATAGGTATTTAATGAAGGCTTATCAAAAAAATTGTACAAGAATGTGGTAATATCAGCAGAACGTTAGTGTGCCAATATCTAGTGCATACACTGGCACAGTAGCTACCCTTTATGGACATAATTAGTGTAGTCTTTCAGCACGTGGACTGACTTTGTTGGGGAAGTGCAGCCACATTCTTTACATTATATATTCACTAACGTGCTGGTTATGTGCAAGGGACACATGGCCCAGTTTTCAGAGCTGGAGTAGATGTGATGTTTGGTTGTACCTGATCAGCTCTGTTCTGAAATAACATATGGCATGCGTTCAGCATCACAGCTGCTGTGCTGTGCTTAATTTGACAGTGAGAAAGAGTTTCACAGTAATGGTAACTGTTTGCCAGAATGATAAAATACATGGAAACTATGGACAGTAAGTCTTTATGTCGACATCCTAACCTTTAATATTCATAGTTCTGTCTATGGTGTCTCATCAGCAACCAGATCTGATTTTTCAGTAATAGTATTACAGTTCTATTATTTGGTGAGTTTTGGTTGGGCTCTCCATGTAACCACAAGTTTAAATAACATTGTTTTCTGGTTATAAGATATTTGTAGCAAGTGAGGAATTACTTTTCTCCTATTCTAGTGTCTGGAAGAGCTGAGCTGGAACAGTCTTAGCTATGCATCTTCCTGTCCTTATATTTCAAGAAATACTTTACATAAAGCTTGTAGTTCCTTAAGCATTTAGTACATTTTGTCTTCTAGTATTATATTATAATGTAAATAAGACAAGGTTGTTTGGGAAGAGGGTATTACAAATTTCAAATTGCTTATTTTCCTCAGCTTTATAAGCATTAATTAATATTCACCCATCTGTCTTCATGCACTTCCTGCTTCTCTTCTTATGCAAATAAGACTCTCAGTTTAGTGTGCAGGCTGTCAGGCCATTAAGGGGCGCTTTGTGCTAATGCATTGCACAAAATGAATCTTTTGTTTCTTATAGTTAAGAGGCTGGCTTTGAGAAAGCATACCTCCAATATGAAAACATAAATAAAATCTAATGCCAGACAAAATCTAATCATCAGAACTATATGTTTTAACAGTTTATGAGAAGTGTGCCGGGGAAGAGTGAGGTGTATTCCTGCAGGAGTCTTCATCATGAAATAAGTCAAGAAACTGACTAAAAGGCTATCTCTGTAGGATGTTGATGGAGTCAACACAGGATAAAGACCAATTTCTTAAGGCATTTGGCAGCCTAATCACACACAAAATCAATCACATGAATCTTTTATATTGGAAAAGACTTCTAAAATCAACAAGTCCAACCACTGATATATCTCCACCTTGTTAACCAGACAATAGCACTAAGTGCCATGTCCATTCAGTTCTTGAATACCTTTAAGGGATGGTGACTCCACAATCTTCCTGGGCAGCCCGCTCCAGTGCTTAACAATCCCTTCTCTGAAGAAATTCCTCCTGATGTCCAACATAAGCCTCCCCTAATGCTGCTTGACGCTATGACCTCTCTCCTGTTATTGGTTGCCTGACAAGAGAACAATCCCTACCTGGTTACAGCCTCCTTTCAGGAACTTATAGAGAGTGATAAGGTCTCCCCTGAGCCGTCTTTCCTCCAAGCTGAACAACCCAGCTCCCTCAACTGCTCCTCATGAGACTTGTGCTCCAAACTCTTCCCTAGCTCAGTTGCCCTTCTCTGGACACATTCCAGCACCTCAGTGTGAGGTACCTAGTGAGGGACCCGAAATTGAACACAGGATTTGAGGTAGAGCATCACCAGTGCCAAGTACAGCCTGGTCCTGCTGATCACAATATTCTTGCTACAAGCCAAGATGCCACTGGCCGTCTTGTCCACCTGGGCGCACACTGGCTCACATTCAGCACCCCCGGGTCCTTTTGTGCTGGGCATCTCTTCAACCACTCTTCTGCAAGCCTGTAGTGGTGCCTGGGATTGTTGTGACTGAAATGCAGGAGCCAGAATTATATTGTTTAACCTCATGCCATTGGTCTTGGCCCATCTATCCAGCCTTTCCACATCCCTCTACAAAATCTGCCTACCTCCAGCAGATGAATACTCCCACTCAATTTAATGTCATTCCCAGACACTTGTGTCTTCCTAAGGTTGAATATTTTGTGACTCCCCAATCTTAAATCCTTGCTGAAAATGATGAGATTTTCTGGTTTGTAGGTGGACAGGGGAGAGTAAGGTGGGACTTGAAACTTGATCACTGGTGGTCTGCATGTGTTTTAGTGAATCCTAATCCAACCCTTATTTGGCATCTGCCCTAAATTTTTAGTATCTTCATCTATTGCAATTGTTAAAATATTCATTATACTGTGAACTAGAATGATGTTATTAATGCTGTTGCACAAATGGGGAAATTAGACACAGACTGAATTCTAGATCCACCAAGAGAAGTTCTTGACTCTCGGACAACCTACAAAATTAAGCATCTGAAAAGTAGAGTTTACATATTTGCACTATCTGAAAAGCATCCATAGTTATAAAAGTAGGAGACGGGAACTTTAAAAGTCCTCTAGTATGAGAACAGTTTGTATTGCATGTAAGTTGCTCCTTTTAAAAACTGAAGAGGGCTGTTTGTTTTTCAAGTGCTCATTTTTGATCATGACTGTTCTGAAAAGTGAATCATAATGGAATGAACTTTTTAGCTTCTCTCATTTCCTGGTAGAAATATGCCTTGGAGCTTGAGGATTTATCTCTCTCTAAAATTATTCTATTTCACATGTTCTCATTAAGCCTATTAAGTATAATGCTTATCTGAATTCTATTAATCTCATTTTGTGTGCTATCTTAGCACAGCTAAAACTATGTATTGAGGGTGCTTCATTTTAAACTTAAAAAAAAAAAAATCCTGCTTTTGGTTTAATTTGAATATTGTCCTCTTCTTTGAATTATAATCTCTAGGGAAGTTCTCCCAGCAAGAGTTGCCAGTTTTGGAATATCTCTTTTGTATTGTCCACATAACTGTGTAATCACCACAGATTGTTAGGTAATCTCCAAATCGTGAGCAGGTGGCCAAGATCATCCATGTCAGGGCCTTGAATGAACTAATATCTCTAATGGCCCAGGGCAGCCTCAGCTGTTGCCTCCATCCACATCTCTGTAGAAAAAAGAGCTCTTTGGTTTGGCTCAGTCTGGAGTTTGGTGTTGGCTCAGTCTGGAGTCTTCAGCCTCTGTCTGAGCTGTGCTGGCAGTGTTGGTTTCTGGCTGGCTTAGCTGTTTGTATGCCCAGACACAGATCCTGTTGTGATGGCATCCTAGCTTGACCTGTCCTGTGCCTCTGAACCTGCTCACTGACCTCTGGATAATAACTCACCCTGATTACCTGTAATTACTCCTTACCCACAGACTGTTTTCCTCGTTTGATCTGGGACCTATCCTATGGCTATGCATCTCCCTGCTGATTTGCACTTTTGGTTGAGCTTGACCATTATCTCTGCTACCTCTCAGGTAGCACTGCCCTGCTAACCTTTTAATCTCACTTGGCTTCTGTCTTCTTGTCACTTAGAGAGCAGCTAACCCTTGTTAGATGATCATTCTGCATTCAGCTCTGTGATGAGGGATGATAGGAGAATTACAGTCTGTGAAAGCAGCCTCATCATGCTTTGTGACATGATGGTCAAATGCCAACTGAGAAAGCACAGAGTTTAAAATACAAGCATCTTTCAGAACCCTTTTTAGAATATTGTGAAACCATTCTTTATATTTGAGTGGTGTCATCTCTACCATGCCAGACATAATACATTAGCAGAAAGGAAAAGTTCCGTTCTGAAAGTAGCCCCAGAAAGTAAGTGGGGCTGTATTAAGACACTTAGAATTGGATTGAAAACAAAACTAGTCTTGGAAAACATTCTAATTTTGGGAACTGGGCTGCAAATTGGCAGCTGACTTGTAAGTAGTATTTGAAAATACCCACAAATAGTGGCATGTCTTGTGGAATAAAGTTTTAATGTAGTATTTTTTGTGACCACTGGGTCACAGTCAGTAGGCAAATTATAGTTACTGGAAAAAGGGACAAGGATGGACAAAAGTCAAATCACTGAATGATGTCATGCTCTCTGCTGCTGTGTTCAATCTTCTCTGTGTTTTGAGTCTGAATGCGTTAAGGAATGCTCTACTGTAGAGATAATTTTGGCTTACTATACCAGACATGAGATCAGCCAGTACCAAATACCATTTTCACAAATTATTGGTCTTGCACAAGTGTTCCAAGCCAGCTAGGAAATAGTTTTATTCACGTTTGGAGAACGTCACCAGGAGTAAGTTCCTGAATCTAGTATTAGAAAGAATCCTGTCATCCTCATTATAATTTATAAGACCTGTATTAGCTGATGCCAAATTCTGCTCTGGAATGTGGATAGAGAAATAGAAACCTGGTGGGTAATAACAATGCTAAAAATTTTCTTACCTGTCCTTCTAGTAGAATGATTATGAATTTGGGGGAAAGAGTTCTTGAAAGCATAGTCACTTGTTGGTGGAAGCACTTGCTGGAATTTTCTTGCTCTTGTCAGAGTGGATCTCATGGCAAGGCCCTTGGGTATTCTTCAGCCAGGATTTGTCTTGCTCTCCCTTTCTACTCAAAGTGCATTGTACAACTATTGACTGAGTTGAGATCTCTTTGTACTTGGTACAAGGTTTCTAACATATAGTCTAGGATAGCCTTTACAAATCAAGGGTACTGCGCTTGGTAATGACTATTGTAGTCCTTGACCTTCAAAAAGTTTGTTGTTGACAGTCAATCTTGTTCTAGAAAAACAGACTTGTTTTGATAATATACATGTCATATATATTCATGGCACAGTATATGTGATAAGATATGTTAAAGATGCACACATTCCCAAATCAGAGAAGATTGTAAAATTTCTCAGTTGTCCACTGGTTGTCCTGGCTGGCACACAACTGCTGAATCCATTTGGTCAGACAAGTACTCCTCAAAGCTATTTGTAGTGTTTTAATATTCTAAGTTTTTTCCTGTTTGATTTTTTAATTTTCTTTGCAAAAGAGATAAGAATCTTACTGGTGTAATTGTCACTGAGTATCCTTTCTAACTTGGTACAGTTAAGATAGTTGTATTTTCTGTGATGTTCAGTGTTAAGTTTGGAAGGATAGATTGAAGGTTTTCCATCACCAAAAGCTAGGGTACAAAGTGTCCTGAAGTTGAAATACCGTAAAAGAGACAGTAATGGTGTGGATTTTAAAATGTCTTTAGAAGGAGTATGTTTCTGATTCCTTCCTTTCTTCTTTCAAATAATTAGTCCTAAAATGCTTCTGAAGTTCCTCTGATTCAACCAAAACTTAAATAAGACAGTGTTAAAATGGTCAGTGATGAAAACAGCAAAATGCTATGTTGGAAATTAAAGACTAAGTAATGTAGATACTGATTTTCATTAGATAGTTACATATTTCAATAACTAAATACATCTGAAAGTAGCTTGTAAATGCACGTGCGCTCATCACACAACTATTGCCTTGCTCATCAGAATAGCATCATGCGTATGTGGTATTTGGGAGAGCAGGTACTGTAAGCATCATATTGCATAACATATTACCTGGAAGTTGACTGCATGGTTTTGGATAAAAATTTCTAAATCTCAAGGGCAAAATTTTCTCGGTTTATTACATTTCTGTTTATTACATATTTTTAGTAGCTGAAATGTTCCCTTAGAAAATATCATAAGAAGAAAAATGCAAATATTGAGATTAGAACATGAGTTGTAAAATGATGGTATGACATTTTCGGTCTTTCATCTCTAGTTTCTGAGCTGTAAACCACTTATCTTCATGTTTTATATTGCATGAATCTAGGCCTATTTATTACAGATTGAAAAAAAAGAAAAAGTGAGTTTCAGCTTTTCCTTGTTTATTATGTTAAAAATTAAACTTCTGCAAGTGTCAGATGAAAAAAGTAATGGATTTTCCATTAGCACTAGAAACTACTTCAAGTGTGCAGATTGAAAAAAGGGCCCTTAACAAAATGTTTTTGGCAACATGGAAATTTATTTTAAATTGAGTTGCCAGAACAAAGGACAAGTCTAGACTAGGCTTTTGAAATCTATTTAAAACAGAAGGAAATTTTATGAAGTTGAGTTTATTCATTGTTTAGCTGAGAAGCTAATTGTATACAGAAATGTCTCTAAAACAAGTTTCAACTTGTAAACAAGTATTTTTACTCCTGAAGTATTTCTATTTAAAGACAGATTTTAACATAGAATTTAGACCCACCTGACAGCTGCACCAAAGGACATTTTTCTTTGTTTCACAGGTGAAGTTTTCTGTTGTTAGTACAGAGGCAGGCACTTCTTGTTTCCCTTCATTTTTGGTCTCAGCCTTTGTGTAAGGATACTATGGGAGTATGTACAAGAAGAGGAGACCATAATCCACCCTTTCCCATATGAGGTAAACACCTTCATGCTTTTGGCCTTCCTTCTGAAACTGTTTATTTACTACATTTCTTCTTTGATGTTATTTTTAGTGAGTCCAGGAATCATGTGTCAGATCTGGATAGTATCCATGTTAATCTGTTTGTTCAAAAAGAATTAGATAATTTGATGACTAAATCATGTGCCTATTCTAGAAAGCTTTTTGAATACATATTGAAGTGTGAGATACTTGGATCAACCAAGGTAGGAGAAAACACTGAATGAACTATTTCACGTGTGTTATATGCATGTAATACATTGTGATACATTATAGATGTGGATGAAGGTATTGGTGGCAATCTAGTGCTTTTTGTTATCATTTAGGACTTTTCATTGAAGGACAAAAATTATTATTATTGTGTGTGTATATTTATTTTAGAATTTACAAACAAGACTTTTGTGGTTGTACTTGGGAAGTTCAGAGCTGAATGAGATTTTCTTCCAGTGAAGTAACTGAAACCCTTTTCAAGATTATATAGTTTACCCATACCATATTTACCCTCCAAAGATCAGCTTGAAAGGCTATGAAGACTGATTTCATCAGTCCAACTTAACCTCTGAATCCAAAGGACATTTTACTTAGCACTTGAGGAAATACTGAAGGCACTTTTATATTTACAACTTTTGACAATGCAGTAAGCCTCACAGGCCTTTCTTCCTAAATTAAATAAAATCTGTAGTGCAAACTATGCAAATGTGTTTTGTCATTCTCCCCCCAGAGCTGCTTCTTAGCATTTTAACTCAGTGAGCATGATTAAGTTAGAGTAGTGGTTTTCCTACAAGCACCTGTTGTACATCTAAAGTGAAAAGTAACAAAAAAAAAAGGTGGGGCAAAAACTTACATTCTATGGCTTTGTGCCATGTCTCTTTTCTCAGGGAATGACATTAGCACTGCCAGTTCTAAATGTGAAATCACTGTAAGGTATCCACCATTAAAAGAGTGTTTCTGATGATTTCATGTGTGAGGTTCCTGTACTGTCCTGAAAGCCTAAGCTTTGTTATTCCAGTTAGATAAAAAAGTAAGTGCTAACGTTGTCAGCACTTGAATTGACTATGCTAGTAATCCATTTAGCTCAGACAGAATGTTTTCCAGATGAAACTTAGGGCTATGGGGTAGGAAGTTCAGAAAATGTCTTTGACTTCATCATGCAGTAGCATAGAAATTAATTGTGCAGAGGGTAATATCAACTCCCATCAGCAGGGCCTGGGTCTAATTAGCAAAAGGGTGGATGTTACAGTCTGTGAATTTTTGATTACTAGATGATGGGTAATAAGCAGGAAGAATGGTTTATATCCTTTACTGACAGAAAATATGTACAGGGTGGTTAGTGCTCTTGTCAAGTAACCAGGTAATGGTGTATCTCACTGCCACAAGTCTGTGGTTTTCCTCATGAAGAGATCATCTGATTGATGCGCTTTCCATTCTCCACACTTCAAAAAAAAAAGTGTTGTTTTAACATTAATCTCTCATTGGTGATGTTAAGTCATTCCATATCAGAACTTCTACTGCATTTTAAGTTTATTCATAGTTTAAAACTTTTTAATTTTGAGGCTATCTAACCCTAGTAGAGCAAATGAAGGTAATAATGTAGTGACTGACACTACTGAAGCCTTTTTTCAGGTATCATTTTTATTTGATTAGGCCTCAACTGTCTGACTTCTCCTCAACCAAAAACACTCAGGACTTCATCAGAATCAGTACAATTAATGCAAAATATTGATCCATTATGATAGAAGGGGCAATTATCTGTCTTTTAGAGACTGTATCATACCACAGTCAAATAAGTATCGCAGAAATAGAAAATAGAATAGGATAGCCATATATTCGATAGGTAGCCATATATTAGATTCAGCTCTGAAAATGAGAAATTGCACCTTAGATGATGCACAGACCTTCTGAAAAGTGCATGATTATCAGGGGAGTTTGCTTAGTAGATAATGATGTATTATTGAGAATGGAGCTGTGTACAATGAAATGCAGGTAAAGGAAGAGGGTAAACCTTTAAGCTGTTGAGGTGTATTAAATGGACCCACAGTAGGTGTTTTGTCTATTCATCTCCTACAAAGCCCATTTTTTTCCCTTACGTTTTCAGTTAATTTCCATAGGTAGCTGTCCAAAGAAATCAGCCATAGAAGATATATGAGTTCAGTGAGCAACCAAAAAGCTCGAGCTAGTAAATGCACAGCCTCCAGCCATCCTCCTGGTGCCTTTTGCTTTAGTTGTCTTAGTAGCTTTATGTACCTATGATGGATGATGTGATACAGGATACTGACAAAACTGTAAGATCCTCAGACATCTCCAAGGCTGCACAAGAAGGTGTATGTGTTTGTGAGTACACTTGCATTAAAATTAATATCGCCAGAGGAGCATTTTAATGGTTTTATACAGTGGACCTGCTACACATACAGTGTATGAGTTTAGCTTTACTTATGACGAGGAGATTATCCATAGCTCTGTGTGTAAGACATGGGTGTCCCGTGGTTTTAATAGCAACAATTCCTCTCTTGAATAGTGCTTTCTCAAAATCTTGGGGAAAACCTGCAGAAAAAGTATCTGTCAATGTTTTAAGGTAGAAGGAAAGATAGTAAGAATGAAGATTTGTAGTTCTGTGTAGCTAGGCTTGCTGGTCCTAGAGCAGTTTCTATACCTTTTCTGAAAATCAAAACACAGCAGAGTATCTCCTTGTAAGCAATCGGGATGCCAAGTAATCACTTGCAAACAAAGAAATAATGAAACTATTTGGGAAGTGTCATGGTTTGTCCCCTTGCCATTCAAATATTCCATGAGTAAATAAGTTGGATAGCTGTTATTCAGTTATAAGAGTAGGTATCATATTTCCATTGCAAAAATATTGAAACTAAAATAACTTTATTGGCTGCAGAGCTGTTTTGAATCAGGATGGAGCAATAGGGATTTGAAGTGCAATGCCATTTAAAAGAGAATGAGGAGCTGAGAAAATATTTCAGAGGTGTATGGTCAGCAGCTAATGGACAATTGCACAGTTTTGCTGAGATTTCCCTGAAAAAGGTGATGTGGTTTTATCCTCAACCTTCCCTTCCTCAGCCTAAGAGCAAAGGATGATTGGAACTTTCTCTCTACAACCAAATAAAACCTGGTATTTTCTCTGAGGTACACAAATAGAAAATGTAGAAACGTAGATATATACATGTTTATATGTGTGTGTGTGTAAACCTTTGTGTATTTTTGTATGTGTATTTTTATATCCGCATATATAGATAGAGTCAAACACGGGTGTTTGACTGGAGATGTCCAGAAGCCTTCCCACTCTTAATACTACTTTGACAGATAACAATTTGAAAATGTGAGAGAATTTACTGAAAGTAAATTCAGTAGCACACTGGAGTGTAGTATTTTAAAAGATGATGTAATATTTAGGCAATTCTGGATTTTTTTCCTTTGGTAAGCTCAGTTCTTCACTGGGAATCCAACAGTCTCTCCATACAAAAATAGCCTGCATTTCCATGTAAAATATTACTTGGTTTTCCTTAAGCATTGGGTGCTCCCTCTGCTCTCATGACAATAGTGAGTTCCCCTATTTTACACAGATTGGAAGACCTCAGTGGGACAGGCTGTTTCTAGAAATCCAACTTTGTTGTGCTGAGCATTCAGTTTACAGAGGTTGAGCAGCCCTGAACATGATGTTGGTACTGTTTTATCTGCAAATAAATTCCTAAAAGATCTCTCTAGGTGTGTTCTTACTCTGTGCTCCACTTAATTTTCCTCTGTTCTCTAGATTTTAGTAGACAGTAGAAATTTTATCATGTTATAAGGCATAACAGGTGATCGGTGTCCAATTAGTTTTATGGGTCTGTGGGTTTGTTTTTTTTTAAAATGCCACCTTCATTGGTAAGAACAAACTGCATGTGAGTGATTTTTTTTTTTTTAAGAAAGGGCAAGGCAAGAAAACTGAAATGGTTTTGTCATAGTAATTCAATCCTAGAAGAGAGGACTGTGTGCTGCAGGATTTGGATAAAATATGGGAAAATACTGGAATTAAAGGTAGCCTCATTTTTCATGTATAAAGGTGTAACATAATAGCAAAAAAGTATATTAATGACTGTGGTGGACTCCATAAAAATTATCAGCAGATTGATCTGAAATACTGGTTATCTTGGTCGATTTATTTGTGTGCAGTACTCAGTGGTTTTGTTTAAGCTTCAATATTATTTGTTTGTAGGAAGAAAATCCGATTTCACAGGATATCAACAGTATCCTGACATGAAGTTTACTTTGTAACTGTTACTTTTTTTACTCATCCAAAAAAAGAACTAGCATTTAAATTTATTGTTTACTGGTTTTTTTGAAGCAGTTGTCTTATATTTTTCCTCTTCCTTGTGTTTTGACTTAGTTGAAATTAATATAGCTATTCCTGTGATACCTTTCAATACAAGGTTTACATGCTCCAAATCATGTTTCATATCCAAATGATTTGTTATTGATTTAATCAGAACTGAAGAAAATTATTGTAGTCTGATGCACTTCGAGTTTTTCATAATTGCTATCAAAAAGTTCTTTATTGACCAGCTTTATTTACCAAATATTAACTTAAACCTGACACAAAGATCACTGTGGCACCGATATTACAACAATTTACAGATAAAACATGTGTCACCTAAAGAAAGTATAAAACTCTTGTTGTCATATGCTTCTGTGACATAGAATTTCTCTAAACAATGTATTTATGGCTCATGCTGACATTGAAGCTCTGAGCAAGTTGACTCATTTCAGCACTGGCTTCAAGATCTGTGTGTTTCTGATCTATATGAACAATAGTGTGAGTAGAAAATTCTTTCCAAGATTTTAGAATTCAAATGCTCTTTGGTATTCAGGATGTATATGTTACACTTGAGGGCATGTTTGCAAAATGGATAAATGATTTCTGAAGAAGTTTGCAAGGAAATTACAAGTAAATCAATTATAAGGCTGATTGCAAAGACACGTGGGATGGCAAAGCT